GGTTAATCAGGGTTAATGGATAAATATAACTGAGTATCGTCAGCATAACTGTGGAAGTTTATCCCATGCTGTCTAATGATTTTACCAATTGGGAGCATATACATAGTAAAAAGAATTGGTCCAAGCACTGAACCCTATGGTACTCCGCAAGTAACCCTGGAGTATGAAGACGATTTGTCATGTACATTTACAAAATGAAATCTGTCAGACAGGTAGGATTTAAACCAGCCTAGCGCTGTTCCTTTGATCCCTACAACATGTTCAAGTCTTTCTAAAAGAACATTGTGACCAACTGTGTCAAAGGCAGCACTGAAATCTAACAAGACTAGAACAGACACAAGATTCTTATCTGAGGCCATGAGAATATCATTTGTAATTCTCACTGACGCAGTTTCAGTGCTGTGATACTCTCTAAAACCAGACTGAAATTCCTCAAACAGAGCATTAGTGTTTAAATGCTCACATACTTGGATGTGCACTATTTTCTCCAGGACTTTGGATAAAAATGGAAGGTTAGATATTGGTCTATAATTCATTGGGTCATCTGGATCCAGAGAAGGCTTCTTAAGTGAAGGTTTGATTACAGCAACCTTAAAATCCTGTGGTACATATCCATTTACTAAGGATAGATTGATTATATCTAGAATGGGGGCAGTAACCATAGGAAATGCTTCTTTAAATAATTTGGTTGGGATTGGATCCAAAATGCAAGTTGAAGGTTTAGATGAAGCTAATATTTTTGATAACTCTGAAAGCTCAAATGGATCAAAACGATTCAAGCACAGATGAGGTTCTACAGTCACCTCTGATGCTGCCTCACTTACTGAGGAAGAAGAAATCGCATTAGGGAGGATGCTAAAGATTTTGTTTCTAATAGAATTAATTTTACTTGTAAAAAATCCCATGAAGTCATTGCTGCTGAGGGCTAAGGGAATAGATGGCTCAGAGCTATGATTCTGTGTAAGTTTAGCAACTGTACTGAAAAGAAATTTAGGATTATGCTTATTCTCCTCAATTATTGCTGAGAAATAAGCAGTTCTAGTTTGTTGAAGCTTATTTTTATAAAGCACAAGACTATTTTTCCAGGATAGGTAGGCCTCCTCATGGTGCGTAGAGCGCCATGTTCTCTCCAATTTCCTAGAGTTTTGTTTTAAGGCCCGTAAATGAGAATTAAACCAGGGAGCCAACTTCCTGTCCCTAATTACCTTCTTTTTTAAAGGGGCAACATCATCTAATGCCACACGTAAAGAGGAATTAACATGATGAACCAATGCATCAATTTGTGAGGGGCTAGAATTGAAAATATTGCCCTCTGCTACATGCCTCTGAGATGCTGAGGACAGTAAAGATGGAACAGTTGATTTAAAAGATGCAACTGCGTTGTCAGATATATAGTGAAATTTACTTTCATGTCTCGAGAACTCAGTTATAAAAAACTCAAAGGTCATCAGAAAGTTGTCCGAGAGGACTGGATTATGTGGAAATATCGTTATTTGCTCACACTCTATGCCATAAGTCAGCACAAGGTCCAATGTATGATGGCAGGAGTGGGTGGAGCTATGTATTCTTTGAGTAAAACCAATTGAGTCTAAGATATTACTAAAGGCTACATTGAGGCTATCATTTTCAATGTCCACATGAATATTAAAATTCCCCACTACAATGACCTTATCAGTATTTAGCACCAAATCAGATAAAAAAATCAGAGATCTGATCCAAAAACTCAGAGTAAGGGCCTGGTGGACGATATAAAACTACAAACAAGAGTGGCTTTACAGTTTTGCAAATCTGGATTAGGAAAACTAAGAACAAGATGTTCGAATGAACTGTAGCTATTAATTGGTAAGGGACTGATTAATAAGTCCGAATGAAAAATGGTTGCTACTCCTCCTCCTCGCCCAGTACTTCGAGCAATATGATGATTTAAATAATTTGAAGGAGTCGACTCGTTTAAGCTAACATAGTCCTCTTGCTGCAGCCAGGATTCTGTGAGAGAGAGCAGAGATCTGATTATCACAAATCAAGTCATTAACTAACAAAGTCTTAGAAAAAATGGATCTAATGTTCAACAACCCACATTTAATTTTTCTAGCTTCCTGCTCAGTTGAATTTGTTCTAATATTTATGAGATTTCCATGATTTGCACATGGTTGTTAAAGACAAGTGAACTTGTTTCCAGCTGGAAGATAATCGCCCATGCAGTAATTATCCAATTGGAGGCTCCTACCTATATGTTTAGTTAAATTCAGGTAGCCACTTTTTTTTGGCTGGGCCAAAAAGTGCTCTACGAGTGGAGGCCACCGTTTACCTGTGTTTGGTTGTTGATGATCTGGTCAAGATATAAACATTGTTGTTTCGACTCTTCAACAATGTCAGCCTAATGGCCAGGTCGTGCCATAGTTTTTCTTCCATTATCATGACTTTTTATAATACCTCAAATGACTGAAAGAGATTCAAACTTCCCTGAAGCTGGTGTGTAAGCTAATGGTTTGTGCTGACCCGATACATTCTCTGTGGTTAATGGATATCACATTTCCCAAATGACTAGCTAACGGAACATTTAACCCAGAAAAACAACTTCAGAGGCACAGCAGAGGAAAAGGCAGGGAACACCAAAGTCTTCCTCCTCCTTCGACGCAGTCTGTCTGCTCAAGTGTTAAACATGTCCAAGTCTTTACTTGTAGACAGCAGCTAGGACACAAATCAAAACGAGGCTTGTTTTGCTGTCGCATAACATTCCACATGAATGCAGCATTAGTAGGTAGGAACATTTAGTTCTGAACTGCAGCTAAAAGGACTGGTCAGACGTACATGACTGGACTTGTTCGAGTCTTATGTAAGAGTTTGATTCAGTCCAATCAGATGCTGTGTCTTAGAAAAACAAGAAGGCATGAGAAGTCTTAGGGTGTGAGTTATGTCACAGCAAGAACAATATACGGATATAAAAAAAAAGCAGAAGAAACGCTGCAGGATATATTCCTTCAGTTAGACAGTTTTATAATCAATATATAGGTCAAAATGTCTTACACGTTATTACAGCAGCTCAGGAATGTGGTGGTCATCAGGGTGAGTGCGTCAAACTGGGTGTGACCTTTGTGTCTCATTATTATGTAATCCATGACAATACTCCAGTCTGAAACTTTATGTTTGTTTGATAAATGACAAAGAAACGAGAACAGAATGTCTCAGCTTAATCATGCTTTTATTTTGATGACATCAGCTGAAGGGAGTCACCGCCTAGCAACCATTTCCTCCTGCCTAATCATTGTGGCTGTTTTTTTTTGGTAAAGTTTAGAGATAATGTTGTTTTGGGGCTTTTATCTGTGTTTTTTTCTTATTCTATAGATTAAATTATTTGCAAGACTCATCACCAGCTGAAAGCCTCTTTCACACTGAATGCGCAACGGTAGCGGCCCGGTTTCCGAATGGCTTCTGCATTGATTAAAAATCATTGAGTCGAATCAGAGCATTCATACCGACTGTGGCTTGGTTTGGACTGGATGTGGGGTTCCGGAACGTTTCCACGTGGAGCCTATTTTTTCCCACACGCCGCATGCGGATTATCATGAAGTTAAAAAAATTACACAAGCCAGACAGGAAGTGAGACATGTTTCAGCGAGGTGCATCCAGTTTATTTCAAACTAAAACCTGTAAAACATTACTTCTTCCAGATTTTAGACAGGGACATCAGTTCAAAGTGTATGATAGTTGACATTATTTTTACTGGTATATTTTTACATGCATTATGTCAAATTTCTAGTCATTCGGTGCTCTTGAGGGAGTAGATAGCCTAAAGCTTGGTTTGTGCTTGACGCGTCCGCGAGGTTCGCATGGCTCCGCGTGGCTAAATTGCGTCATTTTAACAACCACGCCCCTCCACCGCGCCTTCGCACGGCCCAAACTTTCTGCACCGCGCACCTAGGAAATTTTCTAACCACGCGCACGGTCGAACGCGGAAAAACATGGCGGACTGGCAAGAACTAGTATGGCAGAGGTTCATAAATACAGACATTTGTAGGATTCAGCTCTCAAAGATCACCGTGATCATCATGTTGTTAATAATTCTTGGAGAGAAGTAGCTCGCACTGTCGGAAAAGACGAGGACACTGTTAAAAATGCTGGAATGCCATGTTGTAAACAACAGTAATTTTTACTTCTATTATGGTGTAGTGTTGGATGCATGCCGTAGAGCTCCATGCCGCCCCGTTCAGTTTGGGAGAATATTGGCTCACCGCAGAGACAAGCTGAATGAACCATAAACGCTGCAAGTTGTGAAGCGCGTTCCATCCGCGAGCCGCATCACCAAGCAGAAAGTAAACGCGTCAAGCATAAACCAAGCATGAGACATTCAGTTAACAAGCCACAGTCTGTGTGAACGATAGTTGGTCCGGAAGATGTACGGAAACTGAACCGCCTTCATACGGCGTTTGGTGCTTTTCTTTTTCTTCTCTTTTTGTGTGCCTCGTGATTTTTGTCTTGAGAGGCACTATAAAAAATATGTTTTCTTCTTTCTTCTGTTGACTTCCTGACTACCCTTTCTTCATGCTGCTGCTTCCATCAGTTCTGCCATTCTCAGGACCCCGTATCACCTTTTCTTATTCATTTCTGTCTTCCTTTACACTTTTTCATTTTATTTTTCAATTTTCCCCATTTTTTACTATGCTATTTTAAGCACATATGCATACATTTTTTTAAAACATTTTTAATTTTGTTTTTGTGAAGCGACTCGGGATTCTTATCTTAAAGTGACAGTGTGTATTTTTCCTGTCTATAGGGGGCAGTAGATACCTAAATCATTGCAATGAAGCAGTATTTCTGTGCTGGGGTAAGACCTTACCAACGGATGCCCATTAGGGTCGAAAAGCCCGGAGGAGTGCAAACTTTAGCAAAATAATAAGCAGGGCCGGCTTTGTCGACAGGCGACACAGGCGGCCGCCTGGGGCGCCATCTGATGGATAGGGCGCAAAATTTCAAAAAAAAAAAAAGTTCATTAAATTCATGTTTGTAATATGAAATGCACTCTCTACATACTCAAAATTCCCCTTTGAAATGACATGAAATTAAAACATCAATATTTAAATTCCAATGATCTGGCTGCATTTCGAGCTCCCGCTTGAGCCACCGCTCCGATGCATTTGACTGTTAAGGTTGCCATAGCGATCACGTGTGTGGGTGGCACTGTAGAAGGACTTCCTGTTGTGCGTTTAAACGTTTGATATTTTACGATGAAAAGAACACCTAAGCCATCGGGATCAGCATTCCAAAAGCGAAGGAAGGAAGAAGAATAAAAACGGGCCCAAAGCAGAGGTATGTAGACTTTATAAGTTTTGCAAAGGAACTTTTTGCGTTAGCATTGTAGCTAACTGCCTCTCCTGCCATGCATGGTCCACGGACGGACCCTTGCTAGCTGTTTACACACACACAATACAGTATCTGTAACTTTAACCCATTCATTTTACTTTTGAATCGTCGTGTCCAGATGCAGTGAGACAATATCTGCAGCCACACAGGCACCTGTTGACACGTGGGGGGGTGGGGGGGGGGGGGGGGGGGGGCTGTCTTTACACCTGTTGAGTCTCACTGTGATGATGAAGAATGTAAGATTTTTTACTGGTTTTTGGAGCTTGATTGCAGCCTTTTATGAACGTTGTTTCAAATTTTAAGTACGCATACAATATGAATTTAATATTTGTATATCAGAAGAACGTTAGGTGTGGGTGTAGCAAATTTTCAACTTTGTCCGACACATCGGGCGGGCGGCACCGCCGCGGCCGTGGCGGGGACTCCCCCGCTGCAGCCGGGCCCGGCGGGGAGTGAGAACTGCCTAAACACAGCATGACATCTTATGCCGTCTCTTTCTTGTTTATGCTGCAGCGTCTTCATTCAGGCATCACGCAGCAGCAGCACATTTACTGAGCTACAGTCTCAGCATCTAGAACCAGGTGAGTAAGTTACTTGTTAGGCTATTTGTAATCAGCAGTAGAAACGGACTTTTTCAAATTAAACGGCTTATCACATATATCGATATGCAAAATTAATTTATTTAAATCCACACCAGACACTTGTTTTTGGCACAATCAGTGCAGCATTGATTTAGCATTGAGAATATTAAATAATCTGAACATGCACATCTGAAATTGTCTCCTTAAGATGTTATTAGGCTGTAAATTTGTAAAAAAGGATGGACATTAGTTTTTGTGACATTAGTGAGTCATCTTCAGGGCAGAAAGGTTTATGCCCTGAAGAAGGTCGTACCGAAACGCGTCGGTGTTTCCTTGTTTAATAAATGAAAACCTCAGAGTGCCTCAGATCACCGGTTCTTCTTCCTCATGTTCTACATTTATTTGATGCTGAAGAGCACCTGAGAGTGAGACATACGTTTTTTTTCAAATATTCCCCACTTCCACCTGTTTTTGATAATTTTATTCATGTTTTCATAGAACAGATTAAAAAAGATCAATAAAATAAAAAGTCCAGTAATATTAAAAATTGTGAAAAGCATCACTGCACATGACCGAGGAATATTGAATGTAAAAGTGGCACTGTTCTTAATTCATGCATCAGAGGGTTAAGTTGCTTTGTGTGTGTGTGTGTGTGTGTGTGTGTGTGTGTGTGTGTGTGTGTGTGTGTGTGTGTGTGTGTGTGTGTGTGTGTGTGTGTGTGTGTGTGTGTGTGTGTGGGTGTGTGTGTGTGTGTGTGTGTGTGTGTGTTTATTTTCTCACAGAAGAAGAACCCAACACCACACCAGCAGACTCAGTGCTCCAACCCAACAGCCTGAAGAGACACCATCATCAGCTTCAACAGATGTCTGTGAACATGTATGAGCTGCTGGCCCCATGGATCCTGCTGACTGGCCACAGCAGTTGAACAAAATGGAAAGTAGAACTTTCTTTATGATGACACTTTGATGTTTGAGATTTGCTTTTGATTGCACAGTTATTGGTTTTGCACCCCCCCCCCCCCCCCCCCCCCCCCCAATGACATTTGCACAACATTTTGAGTTGTTGGCTATTGTAATATTCCCAGGTTACTTATCTTTCAAGCTTACATTTATTCTTCAGGCTGTTGACTTTAAAGAGTTGCTGTGTGAATATTTAAATTAAAAAATTAGTAACTAAGGAATAACTGTGGAGTTGCTTTTTCCAATGTGTGGACTTGGGTTTGGGTGAGAGGCGCGGGGGGGGGGGGGGGGGGGGGGGGCGCAAATGGGCACTCTCGCCTTGGGCACCAAATTGCCCAGAGCCGGCCCTGATAATAAGCACACCAGACTTCCTTTCATCACTGGTAACAAGTGAAGAGGTAAATGTGTAAAACAACAAAGTTTAAAACTGACTTAAGTTTTGTTACAAATCAGTAAATTAATTTTGTCCTCACGGGCTCCTGTAGAAGGAAACGTGGCATCTAATATGGTGTCGCCCAGAGACTTAGACCCGCTTCCATGTATTTTAGACCTGATTTTTATGGTTATATGTTAGGAAGCCTCCAATATTTTTCAACAACTGGGCATCATTTAATTAATTTTGAGCAAAATTAAATGGATGTTTCAAGAACTAAATGGTAAAAACTACACATTGTCTCTTTAAGAGGTGCTGTGTAAAAATAATTTCATCTTCTTATCTGAGTTAATGTGATTCAGATCAAACACAGGTAATTTCCTTTGTTATTACAGAGTTTGGCTGTGCGACGGGCTGTCCTTTCACTTTCAAGCTTGTTTTCTCTTTCGATATGAACCAGGGATTTGGTTTGATGTAGGGTCCAGATAAAAGTCCCTGGTTTTTCATCTCGCTTCATTTATTTCCCAGAAAGATTACGAGATCGTAATTTCATGATTTTGTTGGGGTTTTCTTTATGTTTCCTGGAATTCTGGTTTCATTGTTTTGATATGAATTATAATAAAGATACAATCTAAAAATTTTGTCCTTACGTTGACAATAAAATACAATGATTATGTTTCTGATGATTTATGTGCAGCCGTATCGATCCACAGTTTCATCGCTCTCACCGTTGTCAGGCGTAGTATTCCAAAGGAATTTAATCACATACATCTTTGGTGACATAAGGTCTCCACCACGCCCTCACACACACTGGCATTGCAGCAGAATGAGGAAAAGTCTCCATTCTCATCTGGAAAAGCAGGGGTGCTGAACTAACCTTTTGAAACTCCTACAGTTTCAAAAAGTTTCAGGTTTTTCCATTTTTTAAGTAATAGACTATTTCTTAACAATATTATAAAAGATACTCAATAAGTTTTAGTTAATTCTTAAACATCTGATGCAAACTTCAAAGTTGAAGTTGCAACAAGTAATAGTTTCCCTAGTGGACGGTTCTTCTTCCTCTCTGGGCTTGTCCCTTTAGGGGTCTCCACAGCCAATCATCTGTCTCATTTAGTCCTGTCTTCTGCATCTTCTACTCTTCATGTCCTCTTTCACCATATCCATGATCTCCAACCTGAGCATCCTTCTATCTATGTAACCATTGCCTCTCCTCTGGACATGTCCAACCATCTGTCTATCCTCTTGGACTTCATCTCCAGACATCTAACATGAGCCATCCATCTGATGGACTCCTTCCTGATCCTATCCATCCTTGTCATTCCTAAAGAAAACCTCAACAGCTTGAGCTACAACCTCCAGTTCTGTCTCCTGTCTTTTTCTCGTGGACACTGTCTCTAAAACAGGCAACATGTCTGGTCTCACCTCTGTCTTCTACGTTTTTTCTTTCATTCATGCCAAAAGCCTTTTATCACACATCAAACCTGACACTTTTCTCCACCCAACCTGCTTCTTACCCTCCTTTCAACCCTCTCATTAGCTCTGAACCATAGACACTAGTCCTTAAGTCTTCCTCTACTTCTGCTTCCTGAAACATGACCGTTCCACCTGTGCTCCTCTCATTTACACGCATTTACTCTGTCTCGCTGTGACTACTCTCCATGCCTCTCTTTTCCTGTACCTACTGTATCTCCACCTCTCTAGCTTCTCCTCTGCCTGCACCCTGCTCTCTCTGCAGATCACCATGTCATCTGCAAACATCAGAATCCAGGAAGACTCCTAACATCATCTGTCAGCCTATCCTTCACCACCGCGACCATGGCAGGGCTTGATTAAGCCCCTCCTGTTTGTGATTTGGCTTAGGTTTTACGCCAGATGCCCTTCCAGACACAACCCTCTGTATATATCCAGAATGGGACCTTGTGACCTCTTGTGGTTGCGTCCAACATCAGGGACCTCACTCAAAAATAATACAATAAAAAATAACAAACTGGAGTCCAGAAACAAACTGGTAGAATTTCATCTTATGCACCACTTATTTTAATATTTGGTAACATTTTACAAAAAGGGTCCCTTTAGTACATTACTTGGTACATTAACAGGCATTAATTAACTATTAAATAAAGTATTATCCTCTGCTTAACCATATTATGTAATGCATTACTAAGCAGACACCTCATCTCAGCCCTAACCTTAAGGACACTTAAGCTAACAGTAACGGGAATGTTAATAAAGGGACCCTTGGCTTATTAATGCTCAATAATGTGCTGTAACAATAATAATGGGACCCTTATTGTAAAGAATTACATAATTTTCTGTTGTTTAATGCTTCATTCCCAGTCCCCGCACTAGCACAGGTTCATCTGAACTGTTTAAAGTGAATCTTTTAGCTCAAATGTGTCTGTCGCTTCGGACTGAGCTCACATGTTGCTGTTTTTCTCTGCAGTCCCCCCACCCAGCCCCCTTCAGAGGCTGCATGTGTGTGGCATGTGGTTTGGATTCCTGCCCAAGGTCTATTCAGAGTGGAGGAACAAGGCCCCCCAGTGTGTTCTGTTTTCAACATTCCTCGGCCCTGACATCAGGCCAGTTACAGGAAGGACACTCCCCTCCAACGAGGGGGCCGTGTGCGGGAAGAGGCCCCCCCTTGACCCAGGCAGTCTGGCTGGTGGTTACTGCCAGGGTGGGGGCCCCGCTATCCCTGAAAGAAGAAGGACCCCCCCCCCCCCCCCACACACACACACACACACAACAAAGAGATGCTTTAAATACCACGTTGTTATGCTGTATAAATTAGATGGCGATGCCCAGTGATTGTTAAGATGGATTACCACCACCACCACCCCCATTCCATGAGGCCTTCTGGAAATTTAGGTCACATGCTGAATGTAAATATTATGGTTTGCAAAAGTGCAGCCTGAAGCCAGCTGAAAGCAGGAGACTTACTCTGGTTTTTGGTTAGTGAACGCCTTTTTGCTACCTCGGAATAAACCTGGATTGTTTTTTTCTTCATAAAGAAGTTGAATTTATTCTCTTTCTTCCTCTTTTTCATTGTTGCATCTCATTTGCTGATTTTATTCAAAAAGATCGAGCATAGTGTTGCACTTACTTTGTAAAACCTACAAGGTCTACAGTAAAAATTGTTTTTTTTTAAGTTAGGAAGTTTTCAGTACGGTGATATTTATCAGGTCACAAAGCTCCTGCATCTTCAGATGGCTGATTAAACCTTTTCCACATGCGCTCATCAGTCAGCTCTTCAGGCTAATGGGCCGGTTCCCAGCCTCGTCTCCGGTTTCTCGTCACCAGAAGGCACATGTGTGTTTGCATGTGTGTGTTTCTGTCTGGGAGGGCGAGTGAGCATCTAAAAAGAGAGAGGAGGCGGAGAAGCGTGGGAGGAGGAGACATCAAAGGCTCGGGAAATCGGATCCCCTCTTTCCATAAAGCGAGCTGGGCTCAGGGACAAAAGAAACGCGATCCGCCATGTGACCGTGAACGACACGGATGCCGACACCATCTGGCTCCATTCAGCTTTTAACTCATTCAGCTTTCTGGAGCCTCACTGCCACAACAAACCAGATGAAATAATCCCAGACAACTTCATCCCAAGCTTGTACAGCTCAGTGGCGGCTCCAGAAATTTTTTTCTGCTGGTGCTATGAAGGAGCTAGTCTTTTTATTGAGGGTGCTATGAAGGAAGTGGTCATGCGTACCTATTGTTCTCTAAAACACCTTCAACACTAGCAGATACACATGCATGCACAAAACCTCAACAACACCTGAAACAATCATTAATAAACATCATAAACATATGAACAATCACTGACTTTTCCATGAAATCATAAACACATACAGCCACACAGAAAACCATCTATAGTGTTGCAAGGTTAGCTAACGTTAGTGTTAGCATTTCCAGCGGCAAAACCCTCGACTGCTGCGGCGGTTGAGGGTTGACTCTCTTCATCCAGATCCGTAGGTTTTTGTGGGTCTGAGATCACTTCCAAAGATTCATTCGTTTCTGACTGAACCCTGAAATGTGGGCAACAAAAACCGATTCATTTTACCACTAGCTCTACTTTTCACTCATTGGCAGGTGGAAAATGAGGTCAAAGGTTAACATCAATTTCCTGTTTTGTTTTAAGTTTTAACTATCTATATGATAATTTACTCATTATTTTTGTTTTGTATGTTAAATATTATCACATCCACACGTTAAATTAAAATTAAATTGTAAAAAAAAAATAATCTAGTATTTACTTGGGGGTGCTATGGGAGTGCAATGACTGATCCAGGGGTGGCTATAGCGCCCCCTAGCGCCCCCCGGCGCAGCCACTGGTACAGCTTGCAAAAAAACTCAATTGTGAGTCATTATTGAGATGTTCCACAGTCATGACAGTCATGACAGTCATGGAAAGACCTAGTTTAGATGTCTTACTGATGTGGGCTGGCTCAACTCAATGTAGACATGATCTGCACATCCATGTGACGTTGACTGTTTCCAGGGATCTGTATCCTCCAACACCGCAACACCAACTTTTAATAGCACCAGTTGGTCCCCTGCATTATCAACAGGACATACAACCAAGGCAATTCATCTTCTTCTACAACAAAATTTGAATTTTCCTCTGTTTAAAGGGAAATTTAAACCACAAATCTTCTAATAAATGTTTTAACCCCATGTAGAA